TTTTCATTTATTCATCCTACCAAGCATTCTTTTTCATTTATTCATCCTACCAAGCATTCCTTTTCATTTATTCATCCTACCAAGCATTCTTTTTCATTTATTCATCCTACCAAGCATTCTTTTCATTTATTTATCCTACCAAGCATGCTGTTTCATTTATTAATTTTTCTTACATCATTCATGCATCTTTTGGTTTGAATGTCTGTTTTTCTATCTTTTTTTCTTTTCTCATTTTTTTTCAAGTGCTTGTCTGAACTCATCTGTTAGTTTGTTCATCTATTCGTCTGTGTATATGTTCGTCTGTTCATCTATTCGTCTGTGTATATGTTCGTCTGTTCATCTATTTATCTGTTAATCTGGTTTTTTTTTGTGTATTTGACTTATGTTTATTGGGTTTTTGGTTATTGGTTCACTTATTTACTTGTTTATTTATTCATTTGTTCATGTAGTCTACTCTGCATTTGTGCAGCTGTTCACTATGTTTCATTTATTTGGTTTTTTATTGTTAATTTAACCACTTTTCTTTTGTTTATTTGTTAAGTTTTTCATTCACTTTCTTGTTTATATAGTATTAATTCACCTGTTTATTTGTTCATTTAATCATCTGTTCATCTATTCATCTGTTCATTTGTTCTTTTGTCTATTTATCATCCATGAATTTATATTGCAGACACCTTACAGCTGTTCTTACCAATATTCCCTGACTCTGAAGTACGAAGACGAGCTGTAGAATGGTTGGAGGAGGAGACCACAGACAGGAAACAGAATCAAACCAATCAATCAGTTTAAAAAGTGGCGGTGAAAGCAGCTTAAAGGGAATTTAAGCGTAATTTCAAGTGATTCTCCTGTGAAGATTTTCAATGGTATCCTTGTAACCTTAATCGTATCAAAAATGTGGAAGATAACTCAAAAAAGTGTTAAATTCTTAGTGCTTCTTATAAGCAAGGAATGCGCAAGTCACATTCACAGAGAACCCTCAAATAAAAATAAAACTGTCTAAAGAAACTAAAACATGGATAAGGGATATCTAATATTCTTGATCACACAAAACTTAAAAGTGTACCGTCGCACTATGGATCAAAGTGTTAAAAAAACGGAAACAAATTATTTTCAAAAGTTTTTTTTCACTGCATGTCACTACATAAATTTGATCGGAATGGCTGGGGAAAATAAATTTGTTTTTAAAAGTCATAACAGATAATGTTTTCATTTAAAGTAAAACAACTTCATGAATTTTTTAATGAAATTGTAAGCTGAAAAGTTCACAACTTCTTGGGGCTAAACAAAATAAGAAAAGTTTCAAGTTTCTTCTTTCTTGTCTTTATTAGACGAAAGCTAAAGAAATTATTTAAAAAAGAAATTATTTCAAAACATATTCATTTTCACTTTCTAGGAACTTTTTGAGTTATGTAAAAAATCCCCCTCCCAGCAGGAAAAGGGTTAAAGTTCTGATTTCTCTCATTTTCATCTTCATGTGTAAAGAACCACATTTTATCAATTTATGTATGAAAAAAAAAACATAGATAACTTCATTATTTTTGATTAGACAAAGGTTTTAAAGATACCACTTCGTATCGGAGGGTCACTAAAATGTCGTCAACTTACACTTAAAAGCAAAGGTCAAGAATGGATTAGATTTTGAATGTAACGTTTCTCTCTACAAGCTAAATTCTGCGTGAAAATAAAATTAAAATTAGAACAATCCTAATAAATTGATTTATTGACTAATTAATATTGGGACAGTACTTCATCAATTTGTTCCGTGTAATTTTGTTCTGCAGTAGTTGACGTATTTATTACTCCTACAATAGAATTTTCTGTAGTGTAGATATATTTAGAAGTTTTCTAGAAAAACTTAAACTAATTCTATTTAAATCATATTTAGTCAAATAACTCTTAAATTCAATATTTTAACATTATTTTAGGGACAGTGCTCTATTTTATTGTAATATCAGGGTAAAATAAATGTCCATCCATGTATTAGAGTTTTTAAAGATGGCCATGGCCACCCCAAAAAAGTCTTACAGCATTTTATCAGTAAAACTTGCCAAATAGCATCTATAATTACAGATTTAACTAACTCAATGTAATATTGAAGGATAAACAAAACGAAACTTTTGAATTTTTGTTAAATCTAATTCAGCATTTCATTAATTAATTTCCCACAAAATCATTGCTTTGAAAACTAACAGTATAAAAATTACTTTTCTGAACCATTCAGTAAAATAATCTAACTTAGATTTCAGAGAAGAGTAAATTAACATTTCATAACAAGCTAAAAGGCCTTCTTCTAGTCTAATTTTGTAGCTAGATTGAAGATTAATGTGTAAAAGTAGGAAGTCTGATCCTGATGTGGCGTTTTTTTCGGATTTGAATCCAAATAAATTCAAATCTTACTTTTCAAAACTTGAAATTTTGTCTCAAGTCCAATAATGTTCAGGTTTCTGATCAGTAGATGTTTAAGTTCACCTATGCTGACCCACAGTCTTTACTGGCATCTCACCCAGTGTCTTCCAGGGGTCAGTCCACAGGTAGGAACAATTTTAAAATGGGGTCAGTCATCTTATTTGATTCATTTTTCATTACATGCATGAAAGAGGCTTGTCTTCCTATCATACACAAACCAACATGTTGGGACTGACTGAAAATATAAGCATTAAGAAAAATTTAGTCGTGGTTTTAATAAACTCTCCATTTATGCAGGGACCCGTCCGATTCACAAGGGTACCCTTACATATGTTGCCTGATCAAGTATAAATTAGATATCTTGTGTTTTTCAGTTTCAATTGGGGTTCTCTTCAAAAAATTATGTTAATTTTTGCGGCAGGAAATAAGTGTAGGAATTATCAGAACTAAACATTTCTTAAGCTAGAAAACAGCTTCTTTCACATTATTTATTAGATAGAGATTTAAGGTTGTCCTTGTGAATCGGACATGTTTCTCTGTAAATTCTATCACTTGAAATCTTAATGACGGTCCCATTAATTATGTTGCTTCGATTAGGCCTAAATCTTTAGCTAATTTAACATTTTTCACAATTTGATGAAAGCAAACTTGTGGAAAATAGAATATTTAAAATATTTTATAACAGATTTGTAGAGTCTATTGATTAAAACCATAAAATCTAAATTATTACGTAAATGTCGAGAGGTATATTTTAAAAAAATTGGGAAATTCTCGCGAAAAGCATTTAAAATTCTCAATTTTTTTCTATATCTCCCAAACTTATTTTTAACATCTGTTTTCTGTATAACAGGCCTTACAGTTAGGATTTTATATTCAGGTTTGTATTCTTTGCATGAATTCNGCATGAATAGATTTCTACAGCATTCATGTTTATTTGAATTTAACATTTTATATTACATATTTATAAGTTTGCATTGTCTGTCAATTTTCTAAAAAAAAATTATTTACATTTTATTTCAAATTATTTGCCTGTTAAAAATTGGTCGACCTCTAAACCAATACAAAAAATTAAAAATATTCTAATTCTTTCACCAATTTTATTTAGTTTATTTAACGTTCAAACCTTTAATTATAGTATCAGACAAGAAGAGGGGGAGGGGGGGTTCTTTAATATTTTTGGTCAACCAAACAAACTTGAAGTTTAGGAGTTTAGCATTACTTAAGTGTCCTAAAAATTGAAGTTTGGGAAAGAAACAGTGAAATGAAAATGTGTCCATTTGCAAATTAGGGATTTTTTGTTAAAAAAATTGTACATAAAAATTTGAACAATGCTTTGAACCCCAGTTCTTATTTGGCAGATATTATTGTCATCGCAGCACAGCTATTGATAAATCCATTTGAAATAAACCTCTTTTTCAGAAATATAGGATAGAGATAAAAAAGTACCACTCAATTCTCAGCATATTTGGTTTATTTTTTATCTAAATTTTTTTATAAACACAAAATATTTATGTAAATTTATTTATTATTTAAACGGTTACAACTCTTGATGGTCATGTAATTGGTCTTCTTCTCTGTAGAAATTGTTCCATTGTGTTTTAAACCAGTCTGGTTGATCTGGATCCGTTGTACAGTTGTATCCATAGTTAACCGTCAACTAAACATAGGTTTCCTATTATATTATGTACAGTTTTATCTTCATCTAAACATAGGTTCTCAATTATATTATGTACAGTTTTATCCATAGTCAGCTGTCATCTAAACATAGGTTTCCTATTATTATGTGCAGTTTTATCTTTAGTTACATGTCATCTAAACATAGGTTCTCAATTATATTATGTACAATTTTATCCATAGTCATCTGTCATCTAAACATAGGTTTCCTATTATATTATGTACAGTTTTATCTATAGTTCGCTGTCATTTACATTTAGGTTTCCTATTATATTATGTACAGTTGTATTTGTTGTCATAGCTAAATGTCAACTTAAATAAGTTTCATAATGTATGTTTTAAGTGAATGTTGGTGATGTGTTAACCATAACATTTAAAAAACGTTCTTTAAATCTGTCCCACTTTTTATCGATCCTCCCAATAATAAAATTGAAACTAACCTCCTGGTTTGCTGGTATGTCCTGTAGAGCAACCAATGACATAATAGTTCCTAGGATGGGATGGACAGCAAATAGAACAAACTCTGATGAAGGTTTAAAACTATGGTTTACCTTGTGGCCCAAGGTTGCGTTATACCTAAAAAAAAAAATTTTTATCAAATTTTTGAAAGTTATTGGGTAATCGAAGGCTAAGTGAACATTTATTTTCTTGTGAAAATGTCTTTTCTTGAATGTGAATGAATTTACTAAAAAAAAATTATCATTGGCGAGAATGATTTCATTGTACACTCAAAAGCTTCAAAAAATATTTAATTAATTTAGATATAAAATATGCATTTCTTTATTTAATATAAAGAATTTCTGGATTATAAATTTAAACACATCTTAAAAAAAAAACATCTCTATATATACTTTGCTGTCTGTCTGTTTGTAAACATTAAACGTCCGAAAGGAGCCTAAAATTTTTTAAGCAATTCACATGACCCAAGGGAGTAAGGATGGTCAGAATTAAAAGAAATATCGATTTTTCAAAATCGTTTAAAGCTAAATTTTTGTTGTTATTCTTTGAATATTTAAGAAGAGGAAATGCCGCAGATAGAGAAATACTTAAAAATTAAAATCGAAGAGCCCAGTTGGTAAAATGAGACATAGTTCTAAAATTTGACCTTTGCACATCATTCCCCAGGTCTGGTGGAAGGTCAATACAAAGATGTTCTCCCTCCTCCAGATCTAATGCTATGTTGTACATGTTTCTTAAATGCTCTTCATCATCACTCAGATACCGCCTTAAATAAATTTTCTGATGTATTTAAATAAAAAAAACATAATATATTAAATTTGGATTTCTTGTGTTTGTCTAAAATTTTTATTAATTTGAAATTAATTCAATGCTGAAGTGTGATCAATTATTTAAAGGAGAAAAAATAGTTAGGGCATAGGGTTTCCTTAAGTCAAAAGAATATTTTTGCAGATAATGATTTAATAAAGATCTTTTAAAAAAAAAATCTAACCTGTCAAGTGCTCTTAGAGAGCTATCACAGTTAATAATATATCCACTATAAAATGCCAAAACCTCGCCTGAAATAAAACACAATAATTAGAAAAATTATTTTTAAAAATCAAGAATATGACTTGACTTCAGATTTAAGTGGGTGTACTTGTTTCTATGATCTACATGAATAAAAATGGCTCACTAACAAGCACCTAAATAGTTAGGTAAAATATAGGCCTAATCCTCATTTGATTGATCAATTGATTTACCTGAAACTACATCTCTTTTTGTAAACAGTCCTTCTTCTGCTCCTTCAATCCTACTCTGTTTAACTTCTACAGTTTTCACCTCATATGGATCCTGCTGCAGTTCATTTATACCCAAACTGGAGGAGATTAAATTATTTAACAGATTTAAAATGACTTTTTAATTAAAAAGTTATGTCAATGATACATCACAGAAACCTTCAAACATAGATCTAGAAATGGAGAAAAGGATCAGGAAAAAAGAGCATTTTTCTGTTTACATTCCATAAATGAGCTACTCTAAGTTCGTATCTTTTATGAATAAAAAAAACATATATCTATGGCAGTTTATAGAAGAAGGATAACTTAAAATTATTAAACTATCGACACATTTTTGATCTTCTTCTTAAACCATTCTTTCTTGGATATAGTAGAGAAAAATCAATCCCTCTGGTTTCTGTATATTATCTTCTATGGCGCACAAAATTTCAAGTTTATCGGCTTCATATACGCAACTCTGATTGGTTGAATTTTATACACTTTTCCGAATACAAGTACAAGATTAGGTTAGTCTCGATATTAAGAAAAAGAGAGGATCAAGCATTAATCTCAATATCCACCATTCTAAAGTTTTCAGCTTTGTCCAGTTTCATTAATTTCTAAATCTAAAATTAATCTTTAAATTGTTTGCTGTAGAAAATTAATTTAGGTTTACAAATTATCTCCACTCATTTCAACCTCCTTATTTAAAGCTCTCAACATTGGATACTCAGATTAAGTAATTGGGATTAAGGATATCTCATTCTAAAGTTTTCAGCTCTGGTTGTTTACCTGTAGTGTGATGGTGGGGAGTATTTAAGTATAGGTCCCTCTAAATCTGCAAATTTGAGAATCCAGGTTGCTCCAGACCTACAAGCTTCTCCCAACTTTGTTGCCTTTCCCTTTAATTCAAAATATTTATCTTAGTTTTTTTAAAGAGAATTCAATTTTTCAATGTTTAGAATTAAAAACTATTTGTTTTATAAAATCATTTTTTTGTCATTAAGAAGAGAATAGAATACATTCCTAGTTTTTTTTTCACAGTAAAAAGGTTTTTCCATTGTAATCAAAATTAATTGTCTAAAATTTTAATTTTTAATTTTTTCAATTAATCCTTGAATAATTGAATTTTATCTAATGCTGTTTAAATATTGTATAACCCTCATATAAGTTACAGACATTTTGGTCACGTTCTATATTGATATGCAATTGTTAAGGTTACTTAAAGAATTAATGTCTAAATTATGCCAGAACTTAACACTCAATTTTATTTTTTTTATTTTTAAAGGTGTTATAACAAAGTAATTAAAGAAATAAAATTGATATATAAATTTTGCCACAACTTAACATGTGACTTTTCTCACATCATTGTAACGAACAAGTCAAATTGCATTAATATTTTAGATATAGACAAAATCTTTCCGTAATGGCCTGGCTTCAACACTTTTCAGGCTTATTTTACAGTTTTAGAAAGAGAAAATGTCTTCAAAATTTTAATATTTAAATATAATTACCACTCACAAAAAAAGAATCCAAAGAAGTACTTCAATGTGTTAAAAACTAATCTAAAAGGACATGACTTTTAGCCATTTTCTCTTCTTGATGTCAGCTGACTTGGTAAAAACTAGGGCTGGGCATAGTTCCATTAACAAATGGCAATTTAGTTAAGTTCCCGCTAATAAACAGCATGTTTAAAAAGTTCCTGTTAACCAACAGCAATCCCTGTTAATTTTTTTCATTGTTAAAGTTAACAAAATTAACCAGTAAAACCAGTAAAACCAAAACATTAATTAATCATTTAAGACTAGTTCCATTTCTAACATTGTCTCTTAACACTGTTAATAATATTGAGATCCTTAATGATGTTACAAGAAAGAATGTAACATACCGTTGACAATTTTAACTAACTGCTAACCAACGGCTTGAAAAATATATGAACAAAATCCCCTTTTGAGATTTTTTTTCCTTTTTTTTTAATTAAGGATAGATCTTCCTTCTATATTTTTCTGGGCGAATTTGTTGCACTTATTGCTTATATATATAATAAAACAAGACATTTGTATATAGTTTCCTCTGGCCGGCCGAACGGCTGGACCAAATGGGCTGACATTTTTTGTGTACACTTATAGGTAGCCAATGGGTGACATATGCTAGTGGGCCCTTCAGCTAGTAATGTATAAAACACACAGAACTCTCATACAATCTTATGGATTTACAGGGTTTCCAAATACACCTTGGAATTGAGTGACAATTTTTAAATCGTTTTTTTATATCCACATTGGGATCTAAATACTGATGTCATTAATTAAGCTCTTATATTTGATATTTATGTTTTGGCTAAATCTACCTGAAGGAGTAGATGGTCCATCCAGAGTCCAACTACTGCAGTTGAGTAGTCAGGGTAGAGATAAGCTCCAGCTCTTGATTCCCCTGGTGCTCCAGACTCATAATAGTATGCACCCTGCCATCCACCTCCAGCTAGATACCAGGAGGGTCCTTCCTCTTCCCTGTACAGTACAATATGTCCAGATGGTGCCTTTATTTCCATTACATTTGTCTGCCTGTTTGTTTGTATTCTATCAACGTCAATACGGCAAATTCCATAGGTCACACATTTTTGTCGCATTTTATTTGAACCCAGGAAAGGTTTGTGGATGGCTAAAGATGAAAAAATTTATCTTTTTTCAAAATGCGCGAATTACACAAAATAATATGGCAGCTTGAAGAGCAACGGGATTGAAAGCTAAAACAGTTAAAATTGTTACAGGAAAAGGTAAACGAAGAGCACAAAGCCTAGTTATGTGGAAAAAAATTCTGCCAATTAAATAGTTCACCTGATCAGAGTTAGATCTGTCTCATAGAACTTAATATTATAAGTTTTAACATTGATATCCTCAGTGAGTGCCCACTTCCTCAGCTCCCTCGTGGCAATATCTCCTGCATAACACTCATCTGTCCTGTGTTTAATACGATATAATACCATTTTAACACAAGAAGCGGAAACAAAAATAAGAGCTTGGGCAATTTCCCATATCCCTTTTCCCTCTCTTAATTTCCCAAGCGGTGACTTCCAAAGTCTGTCCTAGACGCAGCGCTCGGCCCTCTACCCTGTTCTAGCCGCTTTGCGCGGAACTCATTGCAGCCTCTGGTGCCTCAGACTTAACAGCTTTGGGAACTTGAAGCTTAGGAATTTGTCACCTAGGAAGTCGCCCTTGGGAAAATACCTAACACCGTTGTAAATCTTTGGATAAAGGTTTACTTGAATTTACGCCTATACACTATACAGGCTACAGACACAGTACCCCCCTTGAAGAAATATAAAAATTGAAAAATGCTTGTCCATTTAACACTATTGAAACTTTCAATGAAGACAAATTTTGAGGTTTGAGGGACGTCTCTAAATCTCTTTTGATTTAATTTGATTTTGTATAGAACCGCGATCACAATATGGGTTTAATTGTATCCTTCCTTTGTCCATGGAGTACGTGGAGACTTAATAAATTTATAATTAGTGAACTGATCATTTCCCTTCTTACTAATCATTCTTTAACCATCATATCTGAAAAATATCACAAAGTCAATTTTGAAATGCAAAATGACCTGGAGTCCCTGGAGTAGAAACTTTTAAAGGGAAGGGTGGAATGGGTTTGATTTGAGAAATCTTTCATTGCAAGGACTATTCTTTTATTGGTTAAAACGTATCTACGGGTGACCCACGAAACATGTCAGTTTTGATTTTATCATATAAAAAAGAAAATTCTCGAAATCTGAACGAAATTCTTCATATCTCCTGTAATATTAAAAAAGAGGCGGACCATATTTTGTAAATGTCGGGTATTTTGTGATCATTTATTAATGAATTTTATTTCTAAACTAAGGTTTACAAATAAATGCGGAAAATGTTTTCAAAAATCAAAGACGACATTTAATTCGTCTTGTTTCGTCATGTTTTGTGGGATTAATTACTTTCGTCCATTAAAAGTTTCCAGTTTGTCAGTTAATATTATATAATTCCTGAGATTTGAAAGATATATTCCTCAAAACTGACATTTAGAGCGAATTTGCAGTGAGAGTTTACGTCTGTAATCCGTTTAATTTCAGCTGTATCGAATCCTGTAGATAAATTGCAGAGATAGTGTTAAACTAGCTGGAGTACCCTTGGGTTGCGATAGTTAATAGTGCGGAAGGGGNGTTTAATCAAATCAATTTACATGCTAAATTTGAAATCTATATACATTTCCCTACGGTCTTTTTATGTTGGATCAAAACTCATGAACCCCTTGGATTTTGAAAAGGAAACTGGGTGGAACCCCTGGAATGTTTTTTAATAAGTTTAGAATTTCTGTGTTGAGTAAGTTGACTGTTATAGACAAGCTGGTTTCCCAAGCTCTAGTATATTTATAAAGATATTTATTATTAGTTTATCAAACACATCAGCCATTAATGAATTATTTTGTTTCCTATGGAGGTCACATATATAGTTAATATTGTGCTAATTCACACCCACCAATTTACCCAAAATCTGTAGTCATCCACTCTCATCAAATTGATCATTTAGAAAATTATTGCATCTGAGATTGAGGGATGAATTGCCTGGCTTATGATTGGCAGATCAAAGTGACAAAAGCCTGCAATGTTTGATAGTTTTGAGAGTCATTTACCATATTTGAGCAAATTTGTCAATACAGATTACGCCCTCAACCATACCCCCCCCTCCACCCGTCAGGTTTTGTTATGTGGCAAAAATGTCGAATGAATTCAAGACACAATAAATTTAATGGTTTATTTGTGTAGCCTCATGAAAGAATGAAAAAATGTTCTTCACTTCTATTTATTTATTTACAAGTAAATATATTACATTTTCAAAATAAGATATTGTAATTTTATGCGTACGTGAACAATACGCAATGAGGTGCAATGAATAGTTTACGCATTTCTGACCAACAATGCCCTGTTTCCTCTCTATTTCTCCTATTCTACCATAAATCTTAATCATTTACTAGTTTACCGCCCTAGGCAAGGTTTGTAATCCTGTGTTCATGAATAAAGCCTGGATATAAGAAATTGTGCGTACCCCTTTTGAAAAATAAAATCTTTTTGAATGTGGACTGAGCTGAGAACTTTAGAATGTGATATCCTTAATCCTGATATTTTAATTAATCTGGAGATTAATAACAAGAGAAGAACAAGCTTTATTTAATCTCGAGATTAAGAAAAAGAGTGGATCAAGCATTAATCCCGATATCCACCATTCAAAAGTTCCCAGCTCTGATTAAGAAATAAGGTTTTAGATTTCTCATAGCAGTTTGCCGATTTTATAACCAAAGATATGGGAGCTTTCTGATGTATACTTTACTTCTGGATAATTTCTGGATTAGGATATAATCTGCACTACTGCAGGGTTTTTTTCTTATTTGGTTTCCTCTTCTCAAATCCTAGCTTTATCTTACAATGACATAAATATGCTTTAGATTGAACATTGAGCCAGTAAAGTGCAGTTTTAAACTAGTTTTTCAAGCACAAGACTGGAATTTATACCAGAAAATTCCTTCTTACAATCTAGAATGTAGATTCATAAATTTGACTTGTCCTGTTTGTTTGTGTGTGTGTGTGTGTAACAAACGTAAAAACGGCCAAAATTTTTTAAGGACCCCCTCATCATATTAACCCAGGATAGGAAGAATTATGAAGGTCGAATTAAAAAAAATTAGAAATTTAAAGTCGTCTTTACAGGCCCATACTTTTTAGGTATTCTAATCCATCATTTGNGTTTGTTTGATTAATTTAGTCATGTCATCATTTCTGTTTCTGTTTTTGCCTAGAAACATTTGTTCTAAAAAGTCCTTTAATAAAAACAGTCTCTCTCAACCTATCGAAGTTGGGCCTGAATAAAGATATATTTTATGGACCATTCAGGAAAATGCATCTATACCCTTGCTATTGTGAAATCATAGATTATTTAAGAAAAAGAGTTGACAACAAGTTATTAGCTTAATCATTAAAAGGAATCTATTCTATACCCTTGCTACTGTGAAATCATAGATTATTTAAGGAAAAGAGTTGACAACAAGTTATTTGTTTAATCATTAAAAGGAATCTATTCTATACCCTTGCTACTGTGTAATCATAGATTATTTAAGAAAAAGAGTTGACAACAAGTTATTAGCTTAATCATTAAAAGGAATCTATTCTATACCCTTGCTACTGTGTAATCATAGATTATTTAAGAAAAAGAGTTGACAACAAGTTATTAGGTTAATCATTAAAAGGAATCTATAAACGTTTTGAAAGTATAATGTCCCTAAACGCCTGATATGATATGATTTGATTTGATTTATATTGTAGTGAACTTTTCGTGCATGCATTCGGTACAGTTTACTAAGCAGAATAAATTCTGTCTATTTATTATTATTCTATGGTTGTGACACTGCGCAGTCCTAATACATGGTCAAGGATATCTTGAAGTAGAATAACTAGTAATCTCAAATAGTAAAAATAGGAATATACTAGTAAAGGCAGTTACGGGACCTTAATATAGGCAAGATGCATTCACGTCTGGGGGGAGAAGGGGGGGAGTATTCATAACAACCTAATCAATAATGTGGAAGATATCGTTGTATTAATAGTTTGAAAAGTGTTCAATTCTGATGCGCACTTCACTTTTATAGGGAAACAATAATTGAAAAAAAGCATGGAAATATAGTTTAAATTTGATAATATAAAGCTTTTAAGGACATTCCATTCTTTAAATGGAAGGTTAATCAATTTTATTTGAGTTGAATATATATTTAAAAAATGGGCAAGAGAATCGGTGGG